GGGCCGAGCGGGGGGGGGAAGGAGATGGGGGATGGCTGGCCAGTTTTGGACGTGGCGGTTAGTCGGAGTGAAGTAAGCACTTCACTAAGGCGGTGGACGATGGCCGGCGCGTCGTTTCATGACCGATTCGTGAGCGGCTATGCTGGTGGCTTCGCTGCGACTTAGTTGCGGGTTCGTTGAAGCTCCCGGCTGCTGGCTAGTTCTCCGTTGTACGGATACGGCGGTCTCTCTTGGCGATATCCACTGAGCGGCCTGAGTCCCGGCTTGCTCACCTTTTTTCGCCTTGTTCTTTTCCTTGGTTGTGGACGACTGATGTGTGTCTCCCGCTTCAGGCCTGGTTCGCCTTGCAGGTTGCTTACGTCGTTGGCTTCGATGGTTGGGTCGATCTCTCTTCTTCCTCGGTGACCTTCGACGTGGAGGTGGCGGCTGGTAGGTTTGAGGAGTGAGCTAGCTCGCTGCCTCTTCCCTTGATTGAGGCGCTTGGATGAAGTTTGGAGCTGGAGTTTGGGTGGAGGTGCTCACGCTTGAAGCGTGAACTGTCCTGCTGCCTTTCCAGGTCCTCAATTGTTTAAATTTTGTTTTATAATTTTATTGAATTTATTATGTTCATCTGATTGTATCTGGCTTCGAACATCAGCTTGTATTTCGATGATTCATTGGTGTGCGAACTGCGCTAGGTTTGTCTGCTTATGTACTTGTATTCAAACATTCATTAAGCGCGCGAAAAAGTACAACATGAAACCCAGGACGCGCACAGCCCCGCCAAATGTCCAGTAAATATCTGCAAAAACTAAACCGATGACGCACACAGTCACTCGGCAATAGACTGAAGCCTAAAAGACAACAGCGCGCACTCACTGGTTTTCCGACTGAGAACTCTCACTTGGCCCGCCCTGGGCCCGCACTGTTTTCCCAATACTGGTGGCGGGGTCCCATGTGGGAGAATCGCACCAGATGCTCTAGTTCCTTAAATAGTAAATATAGGTCCGGTATCTCGTCCAGACTGAAGCTACGTACAACATCATTGAGAAAATTGAGGGTTGATGGTTTGGGCTCTCCCCAATATAGATGTGAAAGTCTGACTCCATTTTCCCATCGTATATTCTTGCTCTTAAAACATGTGTGGAGTCAGTTTTTGTCTTGGAGGAAGAAAACAAGTTATATTTCATCAGCAGTGGAGAGTGCAAGTTGAAAGCCCCAAAGAGGATGGAGTCGCACTCTGGAGGCATTGCTGATTATGAAACAGTGAGCAAGGAACGGGACAGCCCACCAAGCTATGGTTTCTATGATGCCAACACGATCTCGAGATTGGGACCCGGATCCTTCTTCGGTGAGGGTTGTATCTTCCGCAAGCTGCGTCGAGACTGGATTGTGGAGGCCGCTACGCATGTCAAAGCTTATCAGATAAATAAGATGGACTTCCTGCAAGGTCAGGATCATGACGTTCTCCAGACCCAGTTTCCAGCGTATATATAATAAAGTCAGACTTTGCTGAAGAAAAAACAGAAACGAAAAAGTATCATGAAGACATTTTCAGATGATCATCTTAAACCACAGGTGCATCTGAGCCTCTCTAATTCAGACTGAAATTTCGACGAAATGGGAAGAAATGATGGCACGTCTACAAAACTCTTTTTTCTACCTCATAAATTAGACAACACATCCAACAATTCAATGGGAGCTGGCTTGGGGGATTTCAGAGTGGGAAACTGGGGATAATTCAGTGGAATGGGGCACAGGAGGGGGATCACGGTGCCATTTGTAGAGCCTAACACCTCGTATTTCATGATTGGACATTCCTGGACCCCTCCATCCAGCATCGTCACCTTTCTAAATTCCCAGACCCATTTCCTCCTCCTACCGTGAGCATGGTTCCAAGGAGATGGTTTGGTATGGACTAGAAGCATTGGCATTTTGAAGATAATCGGCCTTGTCAGTCTCAATTTTCATGTCGCAAAATGAGGGTTTAGGGTATAGGGTTTAAGTTCAAAACTGTAATCCTCTTGTGATAGAGTTTTAATGGTTCTCATTGGGCGCTCTGAACAACGGTGAAGAGGTCTGAGGTACAGATTACAGTAGGAGCTTACAAAGCCTCAATCTCGATGGTTCTCTTACCACYCCCGGGATAGAGGCTTTGCACAAAAAAAAAAAAAAAAAGAGGAAAAAAAAAAGGTCTCTTAGTACTTTCACGCACTCGCATCTCAGATTTTTCATGTACCAATTATAATTATTTTCTGTACTCAGGGGACACTGGACCCGTTTTCCAGCAGGTGATGCTCCCCACCAATAGATGGAGCGGCTAGCTATAGATCTAGTATCTACTAGGGGAGGAGGCTCTGACCCCCCCCCCCCTAGTAGATTTTGTCTGGCCTTGATTAACATCAACAACAGCAACAACAACCACAACATCTGAGCCTCTCTTTTCCGAACCAGAATGACTCATTCCGAAAAGTTAGGGGACTCGTCCCCCCCAAAAAGAAGGCCAGGCCTGGGGTCGGGCAGAATTTCTGTTTTGTCCCGTGCACACCACGGTCCACCAGTGCCATCCCTGATGCATGGGACCAACATTTTTTCCCGCCTGGCCCCAGGCCCGCCGTGGGACGAGTCCCCTAACTTTTAGAAATGAGTCATTTTTTGACTCTAAAGTTTGTGTGGGCAGTGTACTTGCGGTTTAAGCCTTAGAAATGATTTCATGCCTACAAAATGTACGCCTGCATCTGAGTCAGAACCTATGATAATTTCTTGTGAGGTTGTTGGGGCGAGCAAGACATGTCCAGGACTGCCTGTTCGGAGTTCCGGGCAGCCTGTGAGGACATCTTCTCTTCCTGTGGCCACTGCTTGTTTTGTGCATGTGAAATGAAGGCCAAATCCAAACCTGTTTCCAAAATAAGAAGTGTTTGAGGTTTGAGTTCCAAGAGACTTTGGTGACATTCATCATGTGTTTTTTTCAGTGGGGACATTGGAGTCATGATTGGACCCATTTTCCAGCACAAGCTGAAGCTGGGTAATGGCCTCAGTGCTTCCGGGTTGTATGTGAGAATTAATGGTTCTTCAATCGGAAACAAAAGAAAGATACTATTGAAAAGAAAAAAAAGTCCTTCGGGACATCCGTTAAAATTGGAACGATACAGAGAAGATTAGCATGGCCCCTGCGCAATGATGACACGCATAAATCGAGAAATGGTCCAAATTTTAAAAAAGAGAAAAAAAGAAAAAAGAAAAAAAAGGAGGTTCAAGGGGTGCAAAGGGTTATGTAAAAACGGATTTGAGGGCAGGTATTGTAGTGCATTTATTTGCATTTCTTATGTGATTTTTTATTTTTTTTTTTTTTTTTTTTTTTTTTTTTTTTTTTTTTTTTNTTTTTTTTTTTTTTTTTTTAAACAGAACCTTAGGGCTCTGGCTCCTTATCCATTCTGGGGAGCATCAGTCCGGTTCCTGTTCCACCGGCAAGTCAGAAAAGGTTACAATAAGCACTCACTCAGCGCTCCTCCCCCTTATGGTGTGGAGGTTTCTTATTTGAAGTTATTTGAACTTATTTCGTATTTCATCAGGAATTTTGAAGTGACCCACTGGGCACCCTTGTTATCCCTGGTTGTCTGAAGAATTCCTTGAGACTCTGAGGATGTTGGCAATCGATCTGGAGCCGCACAGAGCTGTTGTATTCAGAGATCTCTAGCTCTCCGAGTCCGGAACCGATGCTGGTCGGATCTGGGGTGTTACCCTGTAACCTGCTCTAGGTGGGGGCGTGAGGCCTGGTAGAGTGATCTGGGGATGATTTGGGGTGGGCATCTGACAGGTGGACGCTGGCCGGAGCTGGAGTGAGTTGTGTTACTTGGTAACCTAGCAGAATGGGGGTGTGAGGCCTGGATGAGCTTGGCAGAGAATAGGGCAGTTTTGGTGGGCTGTGGCTTGGTTCTGTTGGACAACCCTTAAGTTTTTTTGGTGTCCGAAGGACTGCTGTGGATTGCAGGAGGTGGTCAGATATCTTGATAAGCTCTGTAGTTTCCATATAATCGGTCTTGCAAATTTTGGAGATGGTACATGATCATACTCTCAGCCGAAGCCGGGTAATGGCCCCGGTACTTCAAATTGTTCTACATATGTTTTCAACTTTTCACATGGTACGCTGGGCCTGGTTCCCAGCATGTGTTGCTCCCCATAAATAGATTGAAGCACTATTCCCCCCCCCAAAAAAAAGAGGAGGATAATAGCAGTAGTAGCTAGAAGGGAAGTCTAATCCATACAGAAAATAGACTAGGAAAGGTGGTGATAGGGGGATCATATACAACAGGGTTGAGGAACGACTACCAAAGGCAAACCAACTTGCCAACTTTGGTGAAGAAGCTGTGGGAATCTTTGGGACTTAGTAGGCACTGTAGTGCAATAGGATGATGAGGGGAGCACGCATGAAGTGAAGCGATGTGGAGCGCTAAAACCACCATTACCTTTCCCAGGCCATGTTGAGAATTGCAAATGTAACATTCCGGGTTCTCTGGAGGCTCGGGGCTAACAGACCTGAATGGCTGGCAGCGCCAGCCAGAAGAACATAGAAGTGCTGCGCTGATGCTTCGGCAAAGCTTGGCACGCAGTTGTTTTCGCCTCAGCAAAAAGAGGCTGAGAGGTAGGAGGGGTTTAAAGAGATTCTATGCCCAGGGACAAGAGGAGCAGTAGGAGGTCCAGCTCCTTGTTTTTTTTTTTTTTTTTTTTTTTTTTTTGAAAACAGCCCCGGGATCAGCCTGAGGCGCTGGTAGGAGCAGACGCCTCAAGCTTTCTGGAGGAGGCTCCATCTATTGGTGGGGAGCTGCACCTGCTGGAAAACGGGCCCAGCGTCCCTTTACACATTTGTACATTAGAAAACAGGGACAGGTTGAAACATGTGGGGGGGATCGCCTTGTCAATCAGACGACAGACCGCCATTATTATTCACTGGGACACTAGCTACTCCCCCCCTTTATTCACTGTACGTTGGTCAATGTCGAGGGTGGCCACATTCATTCTCGTCCATTCATCCTCCTCCCTTTGGAATATAATCCCTAGCCCTTAAACCCTAAACCCTTGAAACATGATTGATTCGGCGCAGAACCCTCACATTTTATATTGTGTGGCAGGCGCAGCTTTGATTGTACATATGACCTCATACTATCCTTTTTTTTTTTCTTTTTTTTTTTAAACAACCCGATCGGGTGCTAGGGGTGCTGATAAGAGCAGGCATCGCTAGCACCGTCGGGGAGGCTTCATCTATTGGTGGGGAGCAACACCTGCTGGAAATCGGGTCCAGCGTCCCTGTGGAGTACAATGTAAGAAATGAAGCTATGAAACGAAAGCAATGCAATTATGAGTTGTCAGTATGATTGAGGGGCCTGGTGACAAAGGGCCCATCCCTCCTTCGGTTCTGTTCTAAATGTAGACTTCAGCAAGCTGTCGCTTATAGTGATATTATTACGACCCAGTATTGTTATTGTAACCTGTTAACAACAAATACTATCCATTATTATTTATGTACTCGATGCCATATGCTGATGTGTCTATGCCTGTATATGTTCTATAGGGTGTTGGCACATGCTGTGTATAGGTGGTGGTGTTGTCACATGTGTTTCATGTTCCATGTCACAAAGTGCTGTGTATAATGTGGTTGATGTGTTTGAGTGTTCCTGAGTGCGTTCCTATGATACATGCATGTGTATTTTACTATTTGTTAGTCCATTTGTCAGTGGGCTAATTCTAACCAACCCAATTATGCTACCGATACGCCCAAGTGTTGCAACAGGTCTCCTATACCTTCAACCCTTCAACCCTTCAACCCTTAAACCCTTGAGTCCTGAAGACTGAGCTCATACCATCCTTGCTTATATCCCGCCTCCCTGTTTAGTAGTCTGAATCCCTCAGCCCTCGAGACGCAGAGCTCTGTACCATCTGTGCTTATATCCCGCCTCCCTCTTTAGTAGTCTGAATCCCTAAGCCCTCGAGAAGCAGAACGCTGAACCCTGTGCGCCCACAGACCTCATTGCGGTGAATCTGAGATGTTGCCCATCCCTTCTATACACTTTTTGTGCTGATGGGGCGGAACCAGTGATCTATGAATCGCCTGTGTCTGCAGGGAAAATGCTTGGACTTATGTATGCTTCGATTGTCTTTTTGATATTGCACGTGGCTGCCCTCCGAGGTCTTCATTGGTTGTTACTGAGCAAGTCGATAGTCCACAGTCCCCGGACTTGTAGCTGCTCCCCCTTCCGTTGCTGCCGTCCCTAGTGCATCATTGTTCCCTTCACATATTTTTCCATCCTGACTGCATGCGGGTTGGGAGCGAGGCTCTAAGGGGCAGGCATGGGGCTGGGAGGTTGGGAGTTCAGGGGGGGGACAGTGAGTGAGAGGGGGGGGGTTGCTACAAGGATGAAGTTAGTCGGAAGATATGGGACTTGGTAATCAGTAATGGGCTTTCGTTGCCACGTACCCTCTGAGTTTCTCCATGGTCTCCACAGAATGTCCAGACTCGCATTCAATTCACTGAACGTCCTATGGGGATCCTGCCAAATTTGAATGTAAGAGTCGTGGATGTCGTGTTTGGCCTGAGGTTCGTTCTCATTGCAGTATCGTTTGTCATATTTTTCCACGCTTCCCAGGTGCCGGATCTGATCACCTCCTCTATTGCATGCTGGGCTTGCTGCAGCCCGAACTGATGGTCTTTCCTTTCAAAGGAGCACCTTGCTCGCCAAGCCAGCATTAGGATGTGCAGCCGTGTGTATGAGAATAGGTTAGCTGCGAAGGGAGACCAGCGGGTTAGCAAGTGTTGATTCTTACCGAGCAAAAGGAGGCCCAGATCCCATGGGATGTGAAATTTTGTCAACGAGTGAAAGGCGGCGTCCCACCATCTCCACAGTTGGGCGACCATCGGGCATGCTAGGAGACAGTGTTTGAGTGTCGCTATGGTGGGTGGGGACGCTCTACTGCAGTAAGAGCAAATGGGGGACAACTGGCCTTCTGTTCCAAGTCTGTTCTTGACACCAACCAGTCCGGTGTGGGAAGACATCGGTGTAGGATTTGCCACTGCAGCGACCGGAGGTTTGTGGGCATAATCTTTGCGTATGTAGACCATGACAGGTTGTGCAGCAGGGCCGTGTCGATAGGTGAGTCCTGGGCCCATCGGTCAACTATGATTTGGGTGGTGGGTACCTCTGGGCTTGAAGCTCTGTAACCACCCTTCACAAAGTAGTCCCAGACATGCATCGGTTTCTCCCCAGGCCATTCCCACTCCTCCCGGTCGAAGGGAAAAGCTGCAATCGGTATGGAGGGCTCATAGACAAAAAGACCGTCTTTCGGCTCCCCCAACACTCGTACGAGCATCAGGTCGGACCGGATGTGTTCGCAGTCAAGATCAATGTTGCGTGTAAATTTGGACATTCTTACCCCCAAACGCTGGGGTTCGTGGGCTTCGAGAGTGCAGGTCCCCGAGTGGTGTTTGTGCACGTTGTAGATTACGCATGGCTAGGGTAGATCAGAATATTTGACCACCCAGTCTCCCTGTAGGATGGTTGGGCCTTGCTCCAGGGTCAGTTGTCAGGCCAGCGGCACGGCTTCCTTTAGGATGTGCAGCTTGTCCTCCACCTTTTTAGCGTATTTTATGCGCTTTTGGAGCCGGTCTGCGGTTGTCCAGTTCCCTGTGCTAACATCCCAGAGACTTCCTATCGTATATATACCCTTTTTGACCCAGGAGAGCCATGGGGAGTTTGATGTCAACGGGAAGGGATTACCTGAGTCATGCACAATGTGGGGGTTGTCAAATAAAGGTTGGTCCAGCCCCTTGTAATGCATCAGGAGGTGAGAAAGTGAATGCACCAGTGAAAGTGACACTCACCCGATGTAACGTTGGTTAACCAAATCTTGCTCGTCAGTTTTCCCGTGAATTGTTCACGAGATGACTTTCCACTGCAGCAGCAGTGCAGCTGATATTTTTTTACTCTAGTACTGTCTTCGGACAGTAAGTCAGAAGGAAGACTTCTCACTTCTTTTCCATCATTGGAAACTTCCTTTCTCCCACCAAACATCCGAGCGTCGGGGATCCTCTTGGATTATGTCGGGCACCACTATAAAGTTATAAACTGCTAAAAGTGCCCAATTTGGCAATTTTAGAAAAAGTCCTTTACAGTGGCCAACCTTTGTTCGCATTCGTCCGTGAAGGCAGCCAGAATTCATGAAATCGATCTAACCTGCCACAATGTCCTCGAAGTTGCGAGGACCTCAAAAGTCTCAGTGCTGCTCTCGTCTAGGGCTGAAAGTTGGTCCGGACTGAAAGTTGCTCCGACACACTTCGGTGCACCCATGTGGGCGTGTGCGCTTCTTACACGATGGCTTTTCTTGCGTGAAATGTGGCAGTGTGTGTGTGATAGGGTGGGTGGCTGGTGTAAGGCGCGGCCCAAACTGGCTTTGGTGCAGAGGAGAGTAGACTAAGGTGCTGGAGATAACCATGTTGCAGGAACTCGGCAAAATGACTCCGTAACTTTGGGAAAAGGACTGCTTTTCTTTGCAGAGACAGAGAAAAGTGGCACATGACAAGGGGGTAGCAACTGCTTATTAAAAGAAACAAATACATCTCAGTCATAGTTTGAGTGTGAAACACACACAAGAAAAAAAAAACACTAAATGCAGTTTTGTCACGGCGGCAGTTTGGAATGCAAAAAAATAGCAAAAATAGCAGTCTCTTTTTTGTCGTCTTTGAACTCAGGCCCTCCGACGCGAGGATGGGATAGGAGGTGGCCTCGTTTTCTCAGGACAGCCATGGCTGACAGCTCCTGGTAATCACCGTGGGCCTAGTAACTCGCCTCTACAACACCCTGGACTTCAAAAAAAAAAAAAAAAACTCAGGCCCTCCACACACCACAGCCCACCCTGTAGTTATGACATTCTATTTCCTTTTCAAACTTGGCGCATGAGTGACCTGCTGGTAGGTCTTTTTTTTGCCTGTTTGGATCTCATATTTGGCGGCAAGCGTAATTGTCTCTTACTAAAAACACAGGACTCTGCCAAGTGGTGACAAGATGTATATATAGAGTCTGACACCTGCCCTCTTCTGCTGGAAGCTGAAAAGGACGTGACATAAGCTTCGAATGGAAGCCCCAGTAAACGGCGGCAGTACCTCTAACTATCAACTTTAGGGCAGGTATAAAACCTGGCTATATGCTGGAACACTCGCGGCGTTGGCGAGTGTGCGGCCCAGCAGTGCTGCGGCAACCGAACAGTGCATTTGCAATCCCTGTTGAAACTCTGACAACACTCCTTGTACATGTGTACTTTTGCAGAAAAGACCTCGCCCATGTCTGCTTTTTGAAATAAAGCAAAACAGCACCTTTCTCCTCTCAGCGGAGGAGGGGAAAACGAGGCGGGAGATTACCACGTCTTATCCTTAGAATTGAAATTGCCGATCTAATTCTCTTATGATGATCATTCATGAAAATCCAGAACAGATAGTTTCTCTGAACAGCTCATTTGGAGGTTATCTTCTTTATGCTGAATTAGATCTCAAAGAAAAAAGGGGCAAGTACGTTCATGTCACAATCAAGTTTTGAAATGTGCAAGAAAAACACGTACTAGCAGGGCACTTTTTTTTTTCTTTTTCTGAAGTCCAGGCTTTAGTAGAGGTTGGATGCTAGACGTATGACAGTCAGTCACCTTCGGTAATCCGCCCCGCCACTGGTACATAGCCCACTCACACCTTCGGTAATCCGCCCCGCCGTGGTTATCCAGATGGTCTATAGAGGGTCCCTATTCCTGATGAGACTCACTCCCAACCTACCACTTTCACTATTTCTCCTGGGGCACCCCCTACTTGTGACCTAGAGGTTCTAGCCTAATATCAGTAGATGCACAGCCCCCTATCCGCCCCTCTACCGATAGACATTCCCCTAGACCCCTCTCTAGTCGCATTATTGTGGTTGTATCATTGGTATTTTGATCGCTGTTGGTTGTATGCTATTTGTCAACGGGGGAAGCAGGTCATCCCACCGCTATCTATCCTAAGAGAGCCTCTACTGCAAGATCCAACCCTAGAGTCCTTATCCTGAACAGCACCGGTCTCAGTCATCGGTATGTACTAGGCCCCCCGACCGTTCCTCTTACTTCTATCATTGATTCGGCTTATTCTGATTTATCCCCCAGGGAGGCCCTACCTCGGAGCTCTTCTACCTCATCCCCCCCACAAACAGGGTCCCCCTATTTATCCCACCTGGGGCCCTGCCCCCCCAAAGCAGAGCCCTAAGGTAACCACCTCGCGTGATATACCCCTCCACAATATCCCTGCCTCATCCCAGCTATCTCTGTGCAAGCATGATCTGCCCCACCTGATCAGATTCGAACCCTCAACCTCATCCATACAGCCCCTAGCTCAAACCCACTGAGCTCATCCAGACAGCCCCTAGCTCAAACCCACTGAGCTACTATGATAACTAGTCTGTTCATGTGCTGCACTAGACCGGGGGACAAGTGTGCAATCATCGGAACATCCGGCGAACCACTCGTAGCCTAGACCCCAACATACAACAACCATGGACTGAACCCCTTGGCAGTGTCTGTGGTCCTTACCATGCACCAACCCAAGGGTTGGTTGGGTTATGAAAATGAACAGCCGTGCGTCGGCCAACGCCCACCGGTGTTCATGTGCAGAGCTGCAGAGTTTTGAGCCCACAACCTCAGACCACATCGGGGATTTCCAACCGGTGCTCTACCCACTGAGCTAATCGGCTGTTCACTTTGTACCAAGTGCGGAAATTCTCTGTAAATTGGTGGAACACTTTGCATCAACCTTCTAGTATTAGCCAGTTTGGTACATTAATACATTTTTCTATGCTGATACCCAGCTTTCTGATGTTTACTAGCTTTTTGTTGTTAACTACAGGGCCAGGCTGTGGTGTGCACACGACCTGAGTTAAAAAAAAAAAAATAGAGCTATTCTTTCGTTTTCTCAGCTCTTTTGCCCATTCCAAACTCTGATCGTGACAAAACTTCAAATAATACGTGGTTTGTCTGCACATAAGCTAAAAATGTGACTCACACGCAGTTATTTCAATCAAAGAAAAAAAAAAGAACTAGATCCAAATGTGACACAGCGCTGGCTGGTCACATCAACATAATAAATGATCCAATTATTCCAATCATTAAGTATCCACTTCATAATAATAGCATTTAAATTAACAAAAAAAAAAACACTGGCATTAAAATATATATATATATTAATAATATAATCCAATTAATGCAAAGTTGCAAACCAATTAGTTACCCAAGCTGTTTCAATCCAGGTAATCATCAGGTTATGTCTCCCAGATCTACCGTGGTATAGGGTTTTGAATTCTTTAGTATTTACTGCCACCTTGGTTTTCTCTGATGTCCCAGTGGTTCCGCCGGATATCAAGGCAACACTGGAAGAGGAAGCGACTTTCAGAATGCTGTACTTTGATGGACGACTCTATAGGCATATGGTACGAGCAACTGCGTCGCACTCTTTAACTTCTTCTTTGTCTGTTCATCTTTGAGTCCTACCTGTGATTGGATGGAACATTGGGAATGATTATCCCAGTCCCAGCGATGATTGTACCAGTAATGGAATGGAGCCATAGCTTTGAACCTTCATTTCCTTTCTTGTTTCTATTTTTCGCTTGTTCCTTTGCAATAAACCACACTCTGAAGCTGATTGATGTTAAGCCACAGTACATCTGGAGAATCATGAATAAGCCTCTCACCTTCTTGGCGGGCCTTTCCCTCCGGGCCCACCCACACTTTCTTTTTTACTCTTTACTTTTTGACAATTCTGAGCTTGCTGGTTCTGGATTTACTTAATTTTCTGAAATAGGTAGTTGTTCCCTTTCAAGTTTATACATAACTTTATAAGGTTTTTAACTTTCATTCTGAGGTAGTAGTCTACGATTGCAGGCCCTCAGGTTGTTGAAAGCAGCCAGGTAGGACTGGGTACTTCAGGTAGTCTCCCGCTGCCTGTCAAGTGGTTTTTGATTCCTTGTGGTCACCTGCTATACAATGCTTTGTTTTTTGCTTGCCGGGGATAAGCAACTGGACTGGTGCCCTCCCAGAATATGAAGGGGGTCGTGTTGTTTGAAAAAAAAAAGAAAAAAGTTCAGGGACTAGGGACATGGCTCTCCTGGGGGCAGACATATTTTCTCTTTGGTTCAGTGATGCGCCTGGTCCCAACCCAAGGCATGGGACAATTTTTTTCCCACCCACCCTTCAGAGGCCTGCCCCGAGCCTCCAAAATGTTAGGAGGCTCAAACACAATTCTCAACTTGCTGGGCCCATGTACTGGTGGTTAAACCACCCGTATGTTTGACCCTTCAAGGGGTAAGGATCGGCTCTTCCGGATTCTCCCCCTCGGTTGACAGCTCTCGTGTATGTCAAGACCAGCGAAGATGGCTTCACTACAATGGCAGATAGAACATCGCTGCCTGCCCACCAATGATTGGCTGATAAATCACACATACCTGGAACAAAAGGGACAGGCGCTGCCGTGGTGTAAGTCGTGTCATTCCACCTTCCCCTCCCGCAGATTCCCAGAAACCATAGAGCATATTTTCATGCAGTGCCCGGGAGCCGTGCTTACATGGCGGTGGTGGGATAGGATCTGGACACGGTTGGCCACCGGCTCCAACTGGCCATGGGACTGGAGAGCGATATTATGCGAGGCATGGACCTCCCCCACCGACAATACTTTTGAAAACAATATGTTCAAGTTAGGGAGGAGAGCGGTCATGTGGGCCCTCTAGAGGAAGCGTTGTACCCATGCAATAAAGGGGGTTCGCATAGAAGGGGAAGAGGTAATAGACATGATAAAACAATCCAACAACAACTCGGGGTACAATGGCAAAAAGTTAAAAACCAACTTGAGATGTTCCATGAATCAAGAGACATAACACAGGCTATTCAGCAATTTGCGGGGGACTGGTTGGGCAGCAAGAACGGGGGCTGGATTGCATTCGTTTGTTGGGATGGCAAGCCCAAACAGGAAAACAACCAGGACGAGTTCAGGAGAGACTACTCTATTCGCTTCAGAGATTGGACTACGGTGGGACAGGAGACCCCACTGTGGCCAGCCACAGATTTTCCCGACCCTTTTCCGCCCCACCAGCTGGCGATGGTTGACATGCAATGGTACGGCGCGGAGTGAGAACGGTCTCAGACAAGGACCATGGGCCCGTTTTCCAGCAGGTGACACTCCTCTCCCCAGGTGCTAGGGGTGTGGCGGTCTGCTGCAGACTGAAGAGGCATGTCCAACGCAACCAATAGGTCACCTGTGTTCTTCCGCAACTCTTCTCATGGCGCTGGACAATGCAACCAACAGGTCTAGGATAATAGAAAGTGATGGGACGCTGGACCCAGTTTCCAGCACCTGTGTTCTTCGGCAACTCATCTCATGTTTTTCTTAAGAGGGATGCTGGACCCGGTTTCCAGCAGGTGGTAGACATGCAATGGGGTGGAGCGGTATGAGTGGGCCAGCAGCATCAATAGAAGGCATATCTCAAAGGTAGGGGGTGGGAGGAGCCAGGGTGTAGCAGCAGGTATCTGGCGCCAGTTTCAGGGTGAAGAGGTTCTCCCCCCCTCCCCCAACATCCTGCCCAGTCAATCCCCTGGACCCTAGGGTAATCAATGCTGGCAGGAATATTCCACAGCTTTGTTTTTCTGATATGGTTCAAATTCTGCCCATGTAAGGGATGTTGGAACCGTTTTCCAGCAGGTGTCGCTCCCCACCAATAGATGGAGCCTCCCCCCCCAAGTGTTAGCGGTGTCTGCTTTTATCATCACCACTAACACTGACGGGGGCGTGTTTAAAAAAAAAAGAAAAAAAAAAAAAAGCTCTCATGTAGGGACCCCATATACCCCGAGCGGGATTTCTGCTGAGATGTTGTTCCTGATGCTCTTTGTCAGGGCTCTGTCGTCATCGAGGGTGGGAATTGTGAAGGATGCGTCAGTGGCCACCTGCCACTCGTTGAACTTGATCCTGAACCGGACTTCGATCAGCGGCCTAACTGCCCTGATGGTCCCCCTATCAGTATTTGCTGATTTGGTAACGTTGGGGGCCTTGTTTTCCGCTATCATTTGGACTGTGATGAATTTTTATGTTTGTTCTTTTCTGTAGTGCTGGTTGTGGTTGAACAGCCGTGTCGTTTGAGCTGCCACTGTTGCGATCTCCTGCGTGAGTCGGCGCTGTCCGTTCTTGTTGCCTGCTTCGTCTCTGGGGGGTCCTCTTGTCCCTTCCTTTTGATGGTTTCCAATTCTTGGAGACCATGTCATGGATAGAGTCTGCTCATGTTTGGGGGTCGAAGCCTGTGTCAGTGTCCGTTCCTGTCAACTCTCTTCCTCGCTTTTTTTCGTAGTACCTGAATGCGATGAACTCCGAGAGTTCGGAGTTCTAACGCAGAAGGTCGTAGAAGTTCTTGGAGGGAGGGATTCCCGCCACTGTTTTGTCGGTGGCTGGCTTCCCTGTCCTCTCCAAGTGTTTCATACAGGCCAGCCTGACATCGAACTCCTTTTCCCTTTCGTATTTTGCTTTCTGTAGGTACTCCTCGAGCCTTGGAATGGGGTTCGTTTTGCTTGGTGAAATGTCCATTCCTGTGCGGGAGTCTGTTGGGGAGTTCGGGCCTACCCCAGGGGGGGTGTCGCCTGTGGGGCATTGTTTCGATCTGAGAGTTTTACCTGACCCTTCCGCAGTCCCTCTTCTCTTCTTCCCTGCTCTATCATCTTGGTTTCCTTTGGAGGGAGGCATTCCACTTGAGAGCGGGAGCGATCTTTGACTTGGGGTGGCGGTGCTACAGGATCTGATTTGCTTCTTGTAGCAGAGTGTTGTTGTCCAGGTTCGCGTTCTGACAGGTTTCTGCTGTCCATATCCCACAGCAGGTCCTCGTGCTTCTTTTATTCCTTGATTGCTCGTGGGTCAATAACCGGGTCTGTGTGAATTTTTCCAGGTATCCTTGTTACCTTCTTTTCTCCCACTGCATGCCATCTGCTATCTAAAGGAGGGAATACATCTGGTTATTTTGTTGTCAGGCTCAAATTGTACGTCCACATCCACTTCGGATCCTCGATGGTATCATCAAAGACCCACCCATTGTAGTCTTGGTCGTTGATGAACCATATACCTTTAGCTTCTTCCACTTCCACCAACATGCTCTGTTTCAATTTTTTTTCTTTCGAGTGTTCAGGAAAGCGGGGGCAGGCTGGGTCCGTGCCCAGGTGGCCTCTCTCGCTGCACGTGAAGCAGATGGGGGCGTCTTTTGTTGAGACTGTGACTACGGATGCCTCATCACCGATGCAGAATTCCCATTCTTCCGGGAATTCGGGGTTCATCTCGGAGTTCACTTCCAAGACTGTTGTAATGGAGTCGCAATGTGGGGCCAATAATTCTGGTGTTGGGAGGACCCATTTCAGCACTTTATTGTTGGGGTATTCGACCTCCACTCGGTCTTTGATCAGTGGATGACCTCTGATGGGAATGTTATCGAACTGGACCCAAAATTGGTCCCTCGTGAGTCTCTGTTTCTGCGCTGCTGCCGGGGAAATGGTAGCTTTCTAGGCCGTTTCCAGTTTCCATCAGGACAGGGTGCAGACTGGACCATTGCAGTTCAGGGTGGTGTGTCTGTTGATCAGGTTGGATGCCTGATCGGGGTCCTTGAAGACCACCATCATCATGTTCTTGCTTAGTACCAGAATCGAGAATTTGTATGTGCTTGACTTGAGGTTTTCGTGTCCCTAAACTGTCCTTATGAGCCATTTGCGTTTTCCGATTGCTAGGAGGCAGGCACCTGTGTTGGAGAAAGTGAATACCAGCCCGTGTTTTGCGTACATGGCATTGGTTGCATCGATTTTTTCTTTCGGGTAACACCAAACTATGATTTCCTTTTCTTCTCCATTTTGTTGAACCTTCTTTGTCATTTTTTCTCCTTTGATTTGTGGCGATTCCAACAGGAATCGGAGGGTCTCATGGTCGACAAGTGGTCTGTTTGACTGCTGATTCTTGCCTGTGTTTTGGGACTTGGCCGCTACGACCGAGGTGAAGCGGCGCTGGAA